CAAAAGCTCTGTCTCACACACACACACACACACACACACTCTCACAGCGTGTAGCGAGGTTTGAAAGAGCAGGATAAAGGAATGAGACTAATGGAGGAAAGTTGCTTAATGACAAATTGTCAGATTGCAGAAGCCATTTTCTCTGCTCGTCATTTAGCTCTTTCATCCCAGAGCGCCGTTAAAATATTCCTCAGCGCGTCAGGCTTCTGCTCGGTCACACTTTTCTTTTGTCGCTCCCTTACATCCCCCCCCCCCTTCTCTCTCTCTGTGTTTCCAGACGTGGCAGCAGAAGGCCCACGATGTTCATGTGTTCCAAAACTGGGCCATAAAAACACACAACATGCTCACCAACTCCATACATTGTGACTGTAAAAAGTTGAATTCATTCCAAGATGAAAGCAGCTTATAAAATGTATTTCCTGTTATTGTTTTATCATCATCACTTATTTACAGGGTTGGCATTTGTACCCTTTTCTAAGAGCGAAATAAAATTTAAAAAGCATTCAGCTGTTTTAATGGCAGCATAATGCTCTGTCTGTCTGCACATAATACTGTTGAATCTAATACTTATTTAAGACGAATTTAGAATGAAATATAAATAAATGTAAGACCTAGCACTGAAATGTCAGAAAATCACACTGCTTTGATTTGAATTCACCAAGTGTGAAATATGATTTAAAGCACAAATGTTAATTAATTATATGTTTCATGTTATTATTTGATATTGTTATATTGTTTCACATTTGGATTGGATGTTTGAGAACACTGTGTGATGGTTCAGTATGTTTGTTTGTTTAGTGCTATTGTCTGACCGGTTACACATGCTTGGAGTGGTTCAAGGCGATCACCTGTCAAATTAATCACTGTATCCTCAAATTGGAGAATGTAATCATTGAGGCAGCTCCTATATGTGTATATATACAGTGTATATATATTCAAGTGTTGTCATGCTGCCCATATATGTGATAAAGTTTGGGCAGACTGAAACACTGTAAATAATAAAATAGGAATCGGTCAATAATGTGAAATTTTATATTATGTGTATTATGTATGCTTTATTCCAATAATTAATGCTGCAGTAGGTAACTTTTATAAAAGTAACTTTTCGTCATATTTGCTGAAACTTTCACTATATCCTTACAGTAGTACATAAGACAGATAATCTGTGAAAAAAATCAGGTTCCTCTGGCTCCTCCTAGAGCTCCTGATGGCATTTGACGCACCTGACTTTTTTTTCTATATACATTTGTAATGTATAAATATCACTTTTGCCAATTCGCTGAAAACATGTTAATTCATCATGTCAAAACACTTTACCATTAATTTATGCAAACATTATTATTTTTTTAAATAGAATTGTGTTTTTATTTTAACTGTATACGAAAGGGTAGGTTAAAATGAACAAATTAAGTACACAATAATTACTAAAAATAATATGATTTATTTTTATTATGATTTTAATCATGTTGTTTATGTTGGGGCCAGTTTATTTGTCACAACCCAATTTCTAATTTTCTCAATTTCTGAATTAATTTTATTTGGTATTTTTGTTGTTTGTCATACACAGATACACAAGAATGAATGCCAGATAATGTGTATGTTTATGTTGTCCAATGTCAAGTTTCTATTTGATCATGTCATGAGACAAAACGATATATGGCAGTAACCCGACTGTAAAATCCAACACATTGTTTGTAAAATATATATAGACACCTAATAACTAATTTCCTCATGACTAGTTACATCATGCACTAGAACCCATCATACCCGCCTGCAAGTACTTTACCCCACTGAAACCACTGCTGCACTGTTGCCTCAAACAGAGGCGAGTGTGTTCAGGAAGTGACCCAAACTGCCTCTATCACTCAGCACTCAGAACATTTAGTTCCCAGTTTACTGACATCAGAAAGTCTGCCAACCTCTTCAATTTGGGGTTCTTTCTTTTTGTGATGTTTGCACAAATATATTCAATACATTTGAATACACATTATGCAAATCATGCTGTACAGACAGATAATCTTAGCCCCTCTCTAAAACAGTCAATTTACCCAACACCCCCACCAAAGGAAGAAACAATAAGAAGCCAAATCCACACTCAACTCACCCCTTCTGTTGCATTATGCACTGTTGCATAACGGTATGCATAAAGAATACAATAATAATATAGCAGGACTCAAATGTAAAATTAAGGCTTAATTACTGCTTTTGTTAATTTTTATGGTTCCTAAATATCAGGACCATAAAGTCAAGACCAGTTAAAAAGAAATTGCCTTAAAAGTTATATTATCTTTTTAAAACTTAAAAATAAATATTGCTCAGGAATTGTTCGTAATTCTGATGGCCTTTGTAGTTATTTTGTCTCTTAATTTATATTAATTACAGTAAAAAAAAAGTCATTACAGTGTTGTTGTATCAGATCACCAAAACAGCCTCACACCCAAATTGTTGCTTCCTGCTACATAAATCTCTTTTATCACATCCAGGCTCGATTACTGCGCCAGCAAATTCAGTATTAAGTATAAAATCTTCCTCACTGGCCTTCACTAACTTAGCTTCTCCCTACAGAACCTCTCTGATCTCCTCCACTGGTCTGCTGCCCCACCTTAGTTTTCACGATGACAGGCTCGTACACATCCAGTGCCGAACCTGGGCCTTCCCAGCAGCCGCTTCCTCTCTCTGGAACTCATCCTACACTCAAGACCCCCTAGCTCAAGCTCTTTATTGTCACATGCACAACTACATGATGACATTTGTATATCTAATGCTCCCTCTGACAGACTTGTCCAAATTGTATTTATTTGTTCTCAGATTTTCTTTTTTAAATGTGTTGTCTTCTCGTTTATCTTTCAACCAGCTTTGACTACAATTTTAATTGTTATTATCATTTCATTTGATTTTATATGTTTGAGTGAAAGATAAATATTAAAGTATTAAATGATTTTATATTTTTTTTAAATGGCTTCTTTGTAATTTCAATTTACACCACATCATTTTTTCCACATTTCAGGACAAATAAATAAATTAATAAATATGTCAAATTACTACACACTTTGTGTTACTGTACTGGCTGCCGATGTAAATAAGCTAATTTTGTGAGTCCCTGCTAAAAGTCTGATACCACATGGAACACACAGTGATGGATGTGTAACAGAGTAGCGCCATCTACTGGGACTCATCACAGCTCATGATTGATCTGTGGGTTGTGTAATGATTGAGAAACATGAGGCCAGTGTACAGCAGCAGCAGCCGCCTGAAGGATGTAAACACTGCTGCTGCAAACATGATCATGTTTCCATTCTTCTTTAATCAGAGACTGTTGCTTGTAAACTCATTAACACAAACCTTATTTACACAGAAGAGGGTCAGTAAACACAATGTAAAGAATCGTGAACGATAAGAACATTCATTGTCTTCTCTGACAGAGCAGAATTAATCTTCAACAATTATTATTATTATTATAAATTATTATTAACGCTTATATTTTCCACTAATGCTCCTACAATAATGCTTATGTTGTCTAATCTGACAGGAAAAACAAAAAAGTGCAATTATATGTATAAAATTGCAGACTGGGGGCCGTATGTTAGTTTATTAATGCCAACATTAAATTAAAATCATTCAACCCTATGAGGCCATTTGTATCATTTGATACATTAGTTTCTGGGACCACTACAAAATCAATAACATTAATAATTATTTAACAAACCTATGTTTATACATTCTGGCACAAAAATAGTGTATTGCGATATTTTGTTTTGTGATATGGTATTGATTCTATAGATTTTTATATTTAAAACACTGGTTGCATAAAATAAGCAAATTTTTAAGTCATGCATTCAATGCTGTGTTCTTTATACTATGACCGTTTCCCTAAAGATTTAAAAAACAGAATCACAGTATATTGCCTTGCTTATATCGCAATATATTGAATCGTAACCCCTTTATTGTGATACATATCATATTGCCAGATTCTTCTTCTTAGCTGCCCTCCAGTGAGTTAGCAACACCAATCAGGAAGTGGACATCCATTGTATACCAAATTCAAGATGGCTGCCTCACATAAATGGTTTTATGTGTAATACTAGTACAGTTTGCTCATAATCCTGAGTAGAGTGGAACAGTGATATAATAATAATACAGTATATAGTAATATACTGGACAGAAGTAAGCAATAATAAAATAACAATAAATAAATGAAAAAAAAATACATTATATCAATATTCATGTTATAGTGTGTATAAACGTGAATGCATTATAAACAGTATAAAGTAGTATAAAAAAACAACTAAAAACTGCCATTTTTGAAAAAAATATTGCCAATCACAAACTTCCATTTGTGAACATTAAAGATACTTAAACCCTAATCCAAATATTAGGTAGTTCTAATATTATAGCTGAATGGCCTAACACAACCCGCTGCCATAACTCTGACCACTGGACTGGGACCTGTGGACACTCCCAAATTGATTGGACAACAACTAAACCCAAGTTATTACATTTTACAGTAATCAGGTTGATGTTAAAAATGTTGATAGGGTGAGAAAAACAAATCAATTTTAAAAATGTCCAAACTTTTCTGAAAAAAAATCTCTCTTAACACGCCATTGAACGTTGTGTTTGTCATGGGATGTAAACACACTAGAATACAGAGCAGGATGGTCCTGATCCACGGCCTCAGCATCACTGAACCTTCCACCTGCTTAATCTTCAGAGAGCTGGAGGAGAGAGCCCCGGTATCAACTGTACACAGTTCAGCATCACAGCAGGACGAGGAGGACCGACGCTTCCCAAACTGGCACAAACTGACACTACGCATTTACGGACGCCACACATCCACACACACTCTGTTTCTCTTATTCCACCCTATAAGTAGCACGCAGTTATTCTGTTCCACTCCACTTCCCATGTCTAGCAGCAGCAGATAATGGCATGTACACAACATGTCAATGCATGTACATACACACACACACACACACACACACGCACACACACTCACTCACCTGCTGTAAATACATGAAGGTGAGGGCGGCGCAGGACAGCTGAGGACAGGCGTCCACGTTGGGTAACGCCACGCATGTTCCTCCGGGATGCTGCATGTTCCCTCCTCTATCTGACAACACAAACCCCTCAACCCCGACAATACACAACCCTGTTCTGAACGGCAGAGGTAGCGAGAGCAGCAGGATGAGCAGAGAGAGAGAGAGAGAGAGGTAGATAAAGGAAAGAAAGAGAGAGAATGATTGGTAGAGAGTGAGCTGAGAGATGAAGCTTCAAAGGAAGCGGCAGCCGGTCCCGTACGATGGAAACCAGAGTGTTTTCTGCTCACAAGAAGGCGGGACGAGCGCGGGCAGAGGGAGAGAGAGAGAGAGGAGAGAGAGAGAGAGAGAGAGAGAGAGAGAGAGAGAGAGAGAAAGCTCTGCTGCAGTGTGTGTGACTCAGAGAGTGTGTGTGTGTGTGTGTGTGTGTGTGAAGAGAGAGAGAGAGAGAGAGAGAGAGAGAGAGAGAGAGAGAGAGAGAGTCAGTGTGAGTCTGACTCAGAATGTATGCATGCGTCCGTGCGTGTGTGTGGAGGCAAGCCAGCAGTCAGTGTGACTGCGATCGCTGGAGCGTGAGGGAGGCAGAAAATTGTCTGCGTGTGTGTGTGTTTCTAATGTGTGTGTGTGTGTGTGTCTATATGAGAGAGAGAGATAGTGAGAGAGAGTCCAGCTGTGTGTTTGTGCATGTGTTGTTTCTCGCACAAAATGCTGATCTCTCTCTCTCTCTATCTCCCTCTCTCTCTCTCTCTCTCTCTCTCTCTCTCTCTCTCTCTCTCTCTCTCTCTCTCTCTCTCTCTCATTCTTTTGATGAATTGAAGTTCCCTGACATGTGTTACTGGAGGCCATGGAGGATGCTGACTGCAGCCACAATACAACCCTCTCTCTCCCTCTCTCCCTCTCTCTCTCTCTCTGAAGTGCCATCATTTGCTAGCAAAACTTTTCCAGTCATGCAAAATTCCCAAAGATCCCCAGCTCAGCTTGTTTCTACATGATATATAAATAAAATGATGTTACTATAAATAAATAAACAATAATCAGTGATGAATAGACAGACTCAGTCGTTTTTTGTACTGGTGAGATCTTGTTTCTACATGAAAAGATTCATATAAAATGTTGCAAACAGAATCAAACAGAAGTGTTCTTAGGTAGCTGCAAAGAAATAAAAGTGGCATTATCAGTACTGATAACTATGGAAGCCCATTTCCGCCAATGTGACGGGAAAGAAAAGGATTCTGTAAGTCATTTTAATAAGAAACTTTCTAAAAATATTGAGAAAAATTCTCAATATTCTGACTTAGCATGACAAGATAATGATCATACTAAGTCATTATTAGTACTAAGTCACATTGGCGGAAATGGGCTTCATAGCCAAAAGATATATTTCTCAACTCATGGAAAAATTTAAGAATGGCACTGAATGAAGAATGTAATAAGGCCATTACCCATTGATCATAGTCGTCAGCTGATTAACCTCACCTGGACACTTTTCTCTTTTTTCTTGTCTTATGATTTGTGTTAAACTTAGTTTGATAAATTGTTCTTGTTTGCTGCTTGTCACATTCAGGGAGCCAGTCTGTGACAAATGAGGGTTCGTCCGGGATCCAAACCAACAACAAAATTCCCCCTTTAAACTTTACTCGTACTGTAATATTCAACCTCAGACCAGCACTGCTTTCCAACCACTAATCAGAGTGATGTAAATTATAAAATTAACAAAAGATCTGATCTGAAACATTGAATAATCAAACCAAAACAAATGTAATTGCTATCTGGCTCTAAACCATGAATATAAATTGACAGAGTTTTTCTTTTTACTGTCAGAGATACAAAGAAGAGACAGATCTTCAGTGATTACAGTCTCGCCACAGGGAAAGGACGACACAGGAAGTCCTGGCTACCAACAGAGAAAAGAGCTTGTGATCACTGCACAACAGGTGAGGTGGAGATAGAGATGCACTTCCTCTTAAAAGTGAAAAATATCAGGTATCATCATATCAGGTTGGAATACTTAAATTAATTTGATTTACTAATTCCTAACTTTAAAGAGTCAGGTGACCACAAAATATTATATTAGGAGAAGAACATATAGCAAACATAGCTGCACAATATGTGCTAATACAGTTAATAAAAACACAATTACTGAATATGACAAATTTATGGAAGACGCACACGTTTACTTAGTTTTTTTTATGAATGGTAAATGGACCTGTACTTGTATAACCACTCAACATTTTCTCTTTTACACTACGTGCCACATTCACCCTTTCACACACATTCACCCAGTGATGGCAAAGTCCATCGAACAGAAACTAACATTCATACACACTCACACACCGATGCACGGGGTTCAGTATCTTGCTAAAGGATACTTTGACATGTGGCACCAGGAGCCAGGGATCGAACCCACAACCTTCTGATTAAGGAACGACCCGCTCTGCCTCTGAGCCACAGCCGCCCCTATTTAATATTTCTTTTATTAATTATTTCCAACATTCATGCCATTGAAGCATATTGAACTGAAATTGAAAAACTGAAATTAAATGCACACAGTAACGACAATACACCAGCCCAGGTTGGGAGGGTTACTTATGTAATGTGATCTGATACAATCCCTAATTACCTGTTAAAAATGTAGTCCAGGAATAATACCAGAAATTTAGTAGTGGATACCAATACCAGTCAAATTCCACGATTCTTGATACCAATTCCATACCACAGTAAAACCGTCTTGTGCAGTCTTCGATATATATTCTTCTTCCTATGGCATTTAATGGCTGACTAGAGTAGGTGTAGAATTGCATCCTCTATACTTTAGGTACCTATTACCTATAGTACTGTAGAAAAAAGAGTACAGTCATGTTTTTAGAATTTAATTTGGTATCGACTTGGTATTGAATGTAGTAAGTAACCTGTTCCAAGTGTCACAATATTCAAGTAATGTAACTTGATTATTTTGGTGGTCAGCGATACATCCTGACCACGTTGAAATATGGTGTAAATGTAAGTGTATGTGTTCAATATAAATACAACTACATTGGTGGAATTACCTCTTATTTATTTATTTATTTGGCAAATTTTATTGGGTACCTCATAAACCAGTGTTGTGCATTATAGTGCTGAAATAGTGCTGTGTTCATGTTTTTGGTGAACTGAACGTAACCTTATCCGTTCGCAACTGATGAGCATAAAGATCATAAAGATGAGCATTGTTAACTCTCTCACACATTGTTGAGTTAAACTACTAAAATAACAGAAAGAAGAACAAGTTATTAATAAGGTAGTGCAATTCCAGACGAAACTTCAGTTTCACTTCCACTTTCCGGTGTAGAAAGATGAAGGATGAAGAGAAAAGAAAAACAAAACTGTGGAAAGCTAGTTCACTTTAGTCCTTAGTTTCGGTCAAGTGTGCAAAATTGATACTACACTTCCCATAATGCATCACTTTTATTTGGACCCCCACAACTGGTAAATGCCAACATGTCCAGTTTGTAACACAGGCTTTCTATTATACATTTATATTCTCCAATCCCAAGCCATACACCTGATGACACCATCACTTTGACATCATCAGGTGTTACTTTCTCAGTCTGAACAAAGCACCCCCAGAGCCCCAGTAGACATTGTACAAGTGTTTTCACAGGCTGACGAGGACGCACCATGATGAGTAAACTGACCTTTATGTGTAGAATCGAGTTTGCCACTCTACACATTCAATTGGGAAATTCCAACCACTGTTTACTATCTGCAAGCTCTTATGCTTGACAATGACGGAACACAAATTGTTGAGATGAGATCAGCTATAGACCATTTATCCAGAGAGACTTTTCACACTGTTTTTGAACAAGAAAAAGAGTAGTGTGTCTTTGTGAAAGTGATTATTTTCAACAGCATAAATAGTACAGACAGCAGCAGCCATAGAGCCTATTATTAACCAAACAATTTTCAGGTAAGGCCAATTCCCATAGAAATACACATAAATAGACTCTTAAACTCTTGCAACTTGTAAATTGATTATGTAAATTCTCATTAAAAATCACTCTTTTTTGGTTTTGTTGTATTGTGTGTAATTAGTAAGGTTGTGACCCCTGCTGTGTTTTGTTAATGTATTTAAAACTAAAGAATATTCATATTTTCTATAGGTTCTCTACACATTTGGAACTGGAGTACATGTAATTGTTGTCAGAACCTCAACACAAGAAAAAAACAAAAAACATCTCACCTAAGCAATGAAAATTTGCACTCTTTTAAATCATGATTTTGATAATAAAAATGTGTCAGCAGCAGCTGTCTTGTCACCTGGCAAAATTTAATTTGCCAACTAAAACTGTAACTTAAAAGGTTTGTGTTATTTCAGAGAGGTTAATATGAGTGTGCCTTCAAGTGCCGAAATATTATAGAAGTCTTGACTACAGATTCTCATCCCAGGTCTACACCGTTTTGTCATGCCCCTCTGGGTCTTATACAGAAGCACAAGGTACTCTTCAGCGTATGTATGAGACACCTTTTTAACACATGGTTAACGTTGTGAAACGGTCACAGTTTGGTCAGGTTAAGTCAACAAAACTACTTGGTTAGGTTCAAGAACCTTATAACGTTATGAAACATAAACCCAGGACTATAAGACTGGAGACTGGGTTTTGTGTCCCATGATGAGGACTTTCTTGCTCTTTATACTAAGTCACCCAGTGACGCTTTGGCTTTTGGAAATTGGGCAAATGCTAGGAGGAGGGCCAAAGTTTGGGTTTGGCTGATTGGCCATTTAGCTATATCTGGTGCCTTTTACTGAAACATGTTCATTACGTCGATGCGCTCGTCAGTGTCAGTTTCATGAACCTTTTCATTAAAAAAGGTTGACGTGGCATTAATAAATTAGAGACTAACCACCATTGTAGATCATTTTTTATTGATTGGATTGATAGGATTTAATAAAGAAAGACAACCAGAGGTGGGGAGGGGGACACTAAAGGGTACCTTGTGCTATATCTGATGTCTTTTCCTTAATCTATATGGAGATGCTTAAGGTTGTGACATAATGTCTGTATTTGACGGGAACAAAAACGCACTGGCTCTGAGAAGGCGGGTGGTGGAACATGCACTCCAAGATTACAGAATGCTGCAGGATTTGCAACACCACACCCTCTGCTGTGAGAACATTTTTATCATTTTGGTTAATTAAGGAGAAAATATGATCCTCTTATATTTGCAAACAACAAACTAAAATATTAGCATAGCCCCAGCTAACAGCTAGCTATTTAGATGACTAGATAGATACAGTATGTATGTGTTTTTGTCTATGGGTGTGAGAGATTGCTG